GTTCTTTTTTTTACAAATTAGGTAATACGGTTTTGATATCCCAAATCACACTTCCCTTTTCCTTTGCCCTTGTTAAAACAGAGAAAACAATAGGCCTCCTCGGCATGTGTGTGTGTGTGTGTACACGTGTGTGTGTGTACACGTGCGTGTGCCCGTCCTGCTGTGACATCCTGTTTTGGGATCACAGGACACATGAATGTGTTTTTGCTGTTTTTCTTTTTTACTCCAGTCTGCGATGAAACGAACAGCTGGAGGGGCTAGCGTCCAGATGTTTATACTCCACAGATTAACACGTTAGAGTGACGCTGCTTCGTGTTCACTGCGCCGTGGACACAGTCTTACCTGTCAAAGCAGGTCTGCTTTTAACTGTCTCGGCTAAAAACTGTGATCTTTAGCCGACTTCCTGTTTTATTCCTTTGCCCACCAGCACATTTCTGACCTGATTTTTTTTTTTTTTTTACCAGTCTGGAGTTTAAAGGATTGTTCCAGTTTCTGGGAACCTAGAGGCCCTGGTGCTGACTCTTAGTCTGTCCCATTTACAGGAGATACATTTGTCATACCAGGCAACACAGAGACTGTGGACACTCACACTTATGTGGTTTAACTTTTACATGTCAGGGTCCAACGCTAAGGACATGACAAACATCTAAAGCAGGGGTTCCCAACTCCCGGTCTGGGGACCAATGCCAGTCCGTCGGTGAGACACAGTGAAAAAATGTACTTCAGTTTGACTAATTTACTTCATTCAGAAATAATCCTGTCATATCCCTTTATTTTTTTCATTCAAAGATAAACTGACAATGTTTTAAAGATGTTCTATTTTGAAAGTGATCCTTCAACGATGCCGCGGTATTACCGATTCGCAGTAACGGGCTAATACTTGCCAACTGGTCCTTGGTACAAAAAGGTTTGGGTACCGCTTAACTAAGACACATGTGTCAAACTCAAGGCCCGGGGGCCAGATGCGGCCCACAAAGTCTTTCTGTGTGGCCCGCATGAGTTTAAAAAGCATTTAATAAAGTCCATGCAGCAAAGTTTCTTAACCTGATAAATTAAACGTTTTTTTTATTACACAGTATTAAACAATATTTGTAACTTGAATAAATGATAATCAATTGCAGAAACATGTATTAATACATTATGGAGTAGTTACAGCTATACAGTCTTCGATTTACAACCGACCCTTCAAGGGGAACTGTACTGCTGATGTGACTGTACTGTTAAACTTTATTTATCACTAAAGTCTGGTTCCAGGACCTGGAAGTCGCTGGTACTTGACTAAACAATTTTGATTGCAAACAGAAGCAGAATATCTTACTTCTGACAAAGTGAAATAAAAAAAAAAAAAGTAAAAATCTTCTCAACCCAGTTCAAGGAATGAACAAAATGATCCAATTCGGCAGCTTCTGGGACAGGCTCTTCCAAGTTCCACAGATGGTCCACATCTGTGATCGTCACCTCCCCGAGACCAAATGAAACAACTCTGCAAACTGTGTAAAAGCTTATCTAAACAGAAAAAATTTAAAAAAGCAACTTTTTATTAAATTTACATTGCAGGTCTATCTCTGTATAAACAAACATTTAAAAAAATCTTAGAGCAAAGTTGGCAGATGGTAGAGTCAATGTAGGTTGAGGTAAGAGAATCATCTTTACCCCCCTGTGCCTTCAGTATCCTGTCGCCGTGTTAGGTAATAAATCAGAGGATTGGCCCTTTTTACACCCCCTTCCTTCGTCTCACGTGTGACCTCTGTCTCTCAGGGGTCAGCCGGGAGATGAGCCGAGTCGTGACTCTGTGGGAAACCTGAGCAGGAGACCCGAACCTTGTTCAAATAACCATCTGACATCACAACAGCAGCTCGGCTGTACAGAGCTTAGCTTCAGTTATTATTACTATCTATCCATCTATCTATCTATCTGGCTGTACAAAGCTTAGCTCCAGTTATTATTACTATATAATCTATCTATCCATCTATCTATCTATCTATCTATCTATCTATCTATCTATCTATCTATCTATCTATCTATCTATCTATCTATCTATCTATCTATCTATCTATCTATCTATCCATCTATCTATATTTCTGTTAAGTTATAGTAAAAAAATCTTTGTATTTATTTAACTAGGTACACATTATAATTTTATAGTAAAAACAATCTTGTTTATTTAACTAGGTACACATTATAATTATTGTTTGATAACAGTCACAGTTCAAACTTTAACCTCTAAGACCTCAGTTATGAAAGCAACACAGTCTGATTGCCACTCCCCTACGCCACACCTCCCAGAAATCTGGGTGTGTGCACAATTAAAAAGGGAAAAGAATTGAAGTTGTTTGTCTTTGTCGTAGAAGTGCGCTTAAAAATAAAAAAAAGTTAATTTCAATATAATTTGCATTTTGCAGTCTTTCTCCACAGTGAAAATTCTCTGAGTGGTATTTTTAGTCCAGTGGGAAAAAAACGCGACACAAACACAGAGTCTGATCTATTCCCAGGCGTGTGGGAACCAGAACACATCAGGTCCACAGCTGGCTGACTTTGTCTGCTCCTCTTTTCTCTCCTGCCACCTTCTGCTGGGTTTGTGCTGCTCCAGCTACGAAGACGTTCATCTGGCCGTCTCCAGCGACCACAGCGAGGTCATGGCGTTCAAACTCCAACACCTCGCTGCTTTGGCTGGTCGTTTTACCTAACCCGTCTGCCTTAAAATTCTCTCGTTCTTTTCTTTTATCCATAAATACTTTCGACAAACGGTGAGAAACACTTCTCTAAGAACCATGTGTTTACAATATGTCAACAAGACACTCCTTTTAGACTCCGCCTTTCAAGTTTCTTGCTAAGTTGGTTACATTTCTGTGAGATAACAGCCTTAAATCCTTTACTGGGTTCGATCAGAAATCCTAATTATGCTGTTCTCCAAATGTATGACAGGACATAAGAGACCTAAAGAGAGGAGATATATTTGCATTTATCCCATGTTTGACTAAATGTGATCTCTTAAGTAACACAAAAATACAATTTTTACCACCTTTTTTTAAAAACACAATACACGTTTATATTCATGGGTTTCCAGGTAAATACAATTTTTACCCCCTTTTTTTTTAAACACGATACACGTTTATATTCATGGGTTTCCAGGCATTTACACCGACTGTGTTTGATGAACACTTCCAGGACAGTGTCTCAAGTCTGACAGTGAAGGAGGGCCCGATGAGGAACTGAGGAGGATCCGTCTGCAAGGTTCTCCACATTTATCAAAGCGACCCAGGGAGTGTGGCGGTGCCCTCACCCACGTCTTCACCACACTTCCTAATTTAAAACTCAGTCCGCGTGGCAGGGCAAGGCCTTTATCTGTGGCGCCGTGGACGGGACCTCCTCTGGGGATTTAACCAATGATGGCCTTCGGTGGCCCACAGAGGATCTCCGCTGGTTCCTCTGTCATCATGTATGGGCTACATTTTAATCAATGGGATTAATATATTGAATTTAAAAAAAAGTTATCTTCTCTCTTCTAAAAAAAACTTTTTCAAAAAAATCTGCAGTTGGTTACTGACAAGGAATTTTTAAATCTGCAGTTGGTTACTGACAAGGAATTCTAACTTTTTTTTTCATCAAAACCAAACTGTGTGTAAGGCTTTTACATGAAGCACCAATTAGAGCTACAAATCTGGGAAATTATTCTTAAGGGGTAGGACACAAACACACACACAGACCAACACACTCAAACAGGTCTTGGGCTAACAATAGCTCTACCTCCTGACGTTCTCCATCAAGCTCTCACGGAGTGACGACGTCTGTGTCAGAAATAGAGATTGACAGAAGAAGGAGTAGCCTGTGAGAGGACACAGCTTGGGAAGGAACACAGGAATGCAGGCAGAGTGGACGAGGTGTAGATGGTGCAGGACAGGAGGAACGGGAGAGAGGAAGATTGGAGCAGAGGTAGTGGACGTCTTAATGACATGCTGTTGACAAGGTGGATGGTGGGTATGTGGGGTTCCAGGAGGAGGAGAGGAAGGGAAGGAGTAAGACGAGAAGTCTGGGACCGTGTAGCTGCAAAAAGATGTGTGTGCGTGTATGCACAAAACTAGAGGCAACGGAATCAAACTAGCTGTGCATCGATGCACAATTCCTCACTCGGCCAGTTATGTTACAGGCCACTGGTTCTGTGTTACAGATTTAATTTGCCTGACATGGATGTGTGATGAGTGTGTGTTTGATCTCTGAGGATGGTTCTGGACTCTTTCTTCTTATTCCACCTTAAGAAGTGTTAAATTAAAATATCTTCATCTACATACCTTATATGGTGGGTCACTGCTTAATTCATGGCACAATTTCGTACAGTATTTGGTCACTACTACACAATAAAATTATATTAATATATTTTTATATTAATAAATTAATTAATATATTTATATTTTATATATATATATTTTAAATCAAAATTATGTTAGTTGTCTCTAATATTTTGTAAACAGTATAACCTGCTGCTGTGGCCCATTTTAAATATCACTAAACGATGCTGCCATCTTTAGAAATGTAATGGTACCTGCAGTTTGTTTTTTAAATGAATGGAAATAGTGACACCTTTTGGATATGGTTAGCTGGTGCACCATTTTTACTTAGTCCGTATAACCGCATCCGGGTCACATAACACATGGGGTTATCATCATTGACGTGTGGTGAATCTTTCTAGATTTCATAATTAAAATATCTGAATTCGATTTGCTCTTCGCTATTAATGAACGATGACTGCTTAAGTTCATAACAATAATTTGTTTTTGTTAGAAAATAAAGATTATTTCTTAAAATTAAAAGTCATTTCATGCCCTTTTCTTTTAGACAAACATGCTACAACACACAAAAACCCCTCTACACTAACCGAGTAGTGACAATTACAAAGTGATAAAAAAATACTCATTAAAAAATTATACCATATAAATTAAATATTTTATATTATGGTATACTGAATTAATTAAATCATAATTGTGCTTAAGTGACTGCCCGGACCAATCAAAATTGTGCTTAAGTGACTGCCCGGACCAACATGTCGGTGACACGCACAATTGTGGGGGCTCGGTCAGTAGAAATACGCCCACTGTGGAAGAGAGTATTTTAGGAAATGAATGTGATAAATAATTATATTTATCGAAAAACAAAAGCCCTGATTAAACTCTACTTGATAAAACGTTTGTAAAGGTACTTTGTGAAACACCTCTGCCCATAATATCGAAATATGTGGGTACTGTAGATGTTTTGGTAAAACCAATTTCTCCCTCTGACAAAGAACAGTTGGTACAGTCCAGATGACGGCTCGCTACGAGTTAGCTTTTTAATTCCTGTCAAACTCACCCACAGTCTGTCAGTCTGTCAGTCAGCTAAACTCTGCTTTATATTCACACGTGCCTTTGCAATTTAATTTCATTCTATAATCACGAAAATGTCTAATCCAAAAAAGGGGGACTTGTCTGCAAGTGAGAAGGAGCTCTTCGAGGTGATTTCTGCAGGTGAGACTTTGCGGCTAAAGCTAAAGCTAAACGGTGACCGCAGAAGACAATTAGCTCCCGTTACCATACGTAAGCTGGTTCGGATAAAGACTTGGACAGATGAGGTCAAACCAAATAATTGGAATTCCATTTAATGTTTGTGTTAAATGACTAATTGTGTGTAAACACGTAACTTTCTATAATTATGCCAGTAGTCAAATCTGTCCACACACGTCACGTTGTGAACCTCTTGGTGTTGTAGTTGTACTAAAGACCAAAAGAATAGGGAAAGCATTATATTATGTTTATTAGTCTTTGTAACACAAAACAACTAAAATTTAAAATGACAATTGTGAGATTATTTTCACAGCACTAATTGCATTTACTTTTTCATTTGTTTTTTTTTAACTATTGATTGGTAATATTGGTAAGAACACTGATTTATTTATTTATTTTAAAGGAAATGTTCAGGAAGCCTCGAGGCTACTGGGATGTAAGGATGTTCGAGTCAATTGCCTGGATGAGGTAACATTGCTTTCTTTATACTGCAAGTTCAAACTGAAGCTACATAATGTTTCACTGTTAATCAGTATTTTTATTCCCTTAATCTGAAAAGGCCTTTTTCTCTCTTAGTTTCTAAGAGTAAAAAAAAGAATGGCCCTGAAACAAATCACTTCAAAATTGAAAGAAGGGCCCTGAAACAAATCACTTCAAAATTGTAATCCTCATTGTTTGGTGACATATGTGATGGACAAGAAGACTCCTGAGTTCCTGCTCTGAAGGACTCTTGACCACGCTTCCTTCTGTCAACATTTGTGTCCTCCTGTCAAAGCCTGCTGTTTGAAACAGGGTTGTTAAATAAACTGAAAACATATTTTTAATTGATCATTAATAATCCTTCATCAAGAGAATTAGACAGGAAATTACATACATTTTATGACCTTTGTTAGTTCTTTTAAAAGTACCAGATTCAGCTTATCCCTAACGTTCTTGTAACATTCCTTCCTACGCAGTATGGGATGACTCCACTTATGCATGCTGCCTACAAAGGAAAGGCAGACATGTGTAAGCTGTTGCTGCAGCACGGTGCTGATGTAAACTGCAATGAGCATGAGCACGGATATACAGCACTTATGTTTGCCGGTTTGTCAGGTATGATGAGTATTAGCGTGTCATGTGAAGCATTTGAACTGGTTGATTTGATAAAAAATCTCTTATGTTTCTGTACTTCTTTGCCTGCAGGAAAGACTGACATCACCTTGATGATGTTGGATGCAGGAGCAGAAACAGACGTGGTCAATTCTGTGGGAAGAACGGCTGCACAAATGGCTGCTTTTGTAGGTGGGTCCAGGAACCAAAAATCTGGTTTATCAACAAACTTCTTCTACAAAAATGACACTGTTAAAGTAATTTTAAGGTGGTTTCCAAACGTATGCTCTCTGTTGGGACCTTAAGTAATGGTTTAGTCATTAGGCCACTCCTTGCAAAATGCATCACAGCCCTACAGCTGCTGCACCTGTAAAAGATTGTCAAACAAATTTGACATAACTGCGGGAAAAAAAAGGGATTTGTTTCTCATACATTTCTGCATCTTTGCCTAAATCTTATCTATTTCCTTAAAAATGTAATGTAAAATTGTTTTTGCTTTGTTATTTCTAGAGTTTTTTTTTTGCAAATGTTTTTCTATTAGAAAACATAGTTAATACATGGATTTCTTCATCTTTTTCTGACCTTTGATCTAGATCATTTTAACACTTTTTGTGTTTGCCCAACATTTGTTTATGCCTAGGTTTAGTTTTACACCCTTACTTGGTGTAACTACAAATATGAATTTTGTCCCTTATTTGTTCCACAATGGGGAAATTCAGTGAGTCTTTGCAGCCCACGCGGGCTGCCACAGACGCACCATTAGGGATACGTGGTTCTTCTGGGACTTGAACCCAGGACCATCTGGGTGTAAGGCAGATCTGTAACATTTAGAAAATGTCTTGCACTGTTATGGGTTTGACAGGACCACTTCACCTGTGACTCAGACATTTTGTTTCTTCAGGTCAACACGACTGTGTCACAGTCATAAACAACTTTTTTTCACGTGCCCGGCTCGACTACTACACCAGACTCCAGGGTTTGGAGAAGGAGCCGAAGCTGCCGCCCAAACTGGCCGGTCCTCTGCACAAGATCATCATGAGCACCAACTTGAACCCAGTTAAGGTAGGAAATCACCAGATCACACCTGCTGGATGGAGTTAATCTTCCAAGCCTAACGTGCATTTATAATACATTTGTTTTGGACTGAACATTTCATCTTGTTTTATTTTCTAGACGGTATTGCTGGTGAAGGACAATCCCCTGCTGGCTGAGGCAGAAGCGCTGGAAAAATGTCGTCGTGTGATAGAGCTCATCTGCGAGAAATGCATCAAACAGCAGGATATGAATGAGGTGCTGGCTGTAAAGATGCACTACATCAGCTGTGTGCTGGGAAAATGTGTCTCCTTCCTCAGAGACGGAGACGACAAGCTGGATGGACTCATCAAGAGGTTAGTTCATGTAGGACACAAATCTGGTCAGCACTGTAATTATATTTCGCCCACAAGCTCAAATAAGAAACAGTTTACAATATTAAGCTTTGGTTGTTCTAGATTCAATGTTTACTCAAATTTAAAGTTTGTTTCCATATGAAAAAAAAAAATCTATATTACAGATCTGGAGAGAAGGGAAAACATGAACAAATGTTATTCAATACAAACACTTATTCAATAAATATTAAGTTTGGCCCACGACTTCGTCCCAGTTTTTAATTTTGACCCTCTGTGAATTTGAGTTTGACACCCCTGATGAAGGACGTCCAAGAATGCTGACTCAAAGAACTCTGTAGTTTTAAAGGAGTAGTTCCGTTTTGTAGTGTAAGGGTGTGAGGGTCACCCCTCTGTGTCTCTTCCAGTTTACTGAAGGGTCGGGACAGTGATGGTTTCCCTGTCTATCAGGAGAAGTTCATCAGGGAGTGTATCCGTAAGTTCCCTTACTGTGATGCTACTCTGCTGCAGCAGCTGGTGAGGAGCATCGCGCCTGTGGAGATTGTGAGTGTAGCAGAGACCCACTTTTGTTAAAGGCTCGGAAAAAAACCTCAACATCGCTAGAAAAACAACTGCTTAAATGTAGACCGGCTACTATCAGCCTTTCTCTTTTACACTTTGTCAACAGGGCAACGACCCCACAGCTCTGTCGGTGCTAACCCAAGCCATCACGGGCCAGGTGGGATTCATGGATGCAGAGTTCTGCACGTCCTGTGGCGAGAAAGGAGCCGAAAAGAGATGTTCCGTTTGTAAAACGGTCAGAAACGAAAGCAGATTTAAGACCCTGAACCAAGCTTTGGCATCTGTTGTTTCATGCTATCACTGTGGTCTGAGGTTGAGATGGTCCTGTCTTTTGGGCAGGTGATCTACTGTGGTCCGGCCTGTCAGAAGATGCACTGGTTTACCCACAAGAAAGTTTGTAAGAAGCTGCAGGAGCAGAGAGAGAAGCAGGAAGAAGAGGCAGCCAAGTTGAGGATGAAGCAGGAACAGAAAGGTTTGTTTTGTATCAGAAAAAAACAGAACAATGTTAGCATAAGAAACTGTCATTTAACCCCTAAACTAGCTAAAATGAGCGCACATAAGTCACTTGACCCCTAAACTAGCTAAAATGAGCGCACAGAGTAACAGTTTGTGTTTTCTCAGAGGAGACTCAGGAGGTCACAGACTCTGTTCAGAAGCTCTCTGTGGACAACGAACACCCTTCTACAGAATCTTCTACAGAAATTCCCCAGGATATCCATGATCCTGCCGACAACTGAGCAATACCTGCAACCAGAATAACCTTCTCCGGAATCAACTCATCCATAGGCAGAAACCAGGAGACTCGGAGCAGGTCTGATCCTGCGGGAAGAAGACGGAAGACGAGAGACGGTAGATGACTTGGACTTTATTTCTTATCATCCTGAGGCAGTGGGGTGGAGTCACTGGCACTTCCAGACAATATTTGTTCCAGCAGTGACCACAGCTCCTGTAAGTCAGGGGAGTGGGAGTGTGTGAAGCTTGTGCTAGAAAGTGTTGTAGTGTTTGACTCAAGCCACGACACTTGACTCAAACCCTACTAAGTCGACTCGGGAGACTCGTGTCCAGGTTGTTTTTTTGTTTTTTTTAACCGGTGACCTAGTCTCTGACTTGGACTTGAAGATTGATGACTTGACTCCAACTCCTATTGTCAGAGTATTTGAAAGTAAATCTACCTTAAATAATGTTAGCCAAAGTGTAGCTACTCACATGTAGTAGCTACACTATACAGGACTGTCTCAGAAAATTAGAATATTGTGATAAAGTTCATTATTTTCTTTAATGCAATTAAAAAAACAAAAATGCCATACATCCTGGATTCATTACAAATCAACTGAAATATTGCAAGCCTTTTATTATTTTAATATTGCTGATTATGGCTTAGAGCTTGAGAAAACTCAAAAAACCTATCTCAAAAAATTAGAATTTTTCCTCAGATCAAGTAAAAAAAAAAAAAAGTATATCAGCAAAACAAAATCAAACATTTGAAAATCTCCATTAATGCAGTCAGTACTTCGTTGGGAATCCTTTTGCCTGGATTACTGCATCAATGCGGCGTGGCATGGAGGCAATCAACCTGTGGCATTGCTGAGGTGTTATGGATGCCCAGGATGCTTCAATAGTTGGTGATATTCTAATTTTTTGAGATAGGATTTTTGAGTTTTCTCAAGCTCTAAGCCATAATCAGCAATATTAAAATAATAAAAGGCTTGCAATATTTCAGTTGATTTGTAATGAATCCAGGATGTATGGCATTTTTGTTTTTTTAATTGCATTAAAGAAAATAATGAACTTTATCACAATATTCTAATTTTCTGAGACAGTCCTGTATGTAGGGATTGTTTGTCGTTGACTTTTTTTTTATTATTGTTATTTTGTACTGAGAGTTGTGGTACACGGAGAGTAAATAGAACAGACCAAAATGTGTATTTTTAAATACAGACAAATTAAATGTGACTTTATTTTTTATTAACACGTGTAACAATGAACGTTCAGGGTATTTGGATGGACTGCTCGTAAACCACACATTTACTTGCACCAAAGTCCATGGAGAAAGTGGGGTACATGTACTGTTTGTATCACTAAGGTACATTATTGAATACTGCATCTAAATATGCTGATGAAGGTAGTAGTGGTTCACATGCCTACAAAGACTTTAGTTTTACAACTGCGTGGTAAAGTAGAGTGCTAAATGTGTGTTCGTACTTCTATCTCTAGGATGCCAGATTTTTCTTTTTTTTAAAATGACTCATCAGCAAAAATTAATTATGCTCTGAAGTTACACTTAGCAGATCTTAAAGTTGTGGGTTGTGAAATCGAGGTCCGTTTGTGACACTAACTAAATAAATAAATTATATACCACAAGCAAAGGATTGTTTTCAATTTGTTTTTGTAAATGTCATCTGCATTGAATGTGAATGTCCAGTAGGTGGCGTTGTTTCCCCAGAATCGAACAGATGCGTGCAAGGTCAGTTGAGTCCATGCTGGAGAGGTGGTTCTGAAACATCGCTCCCTCCAAGGAGCACCAGTTTGATCAATATGAAAACAATGAAACTTTAGCAAAGGATCAGAATCTGAGGAAAATATTCATATTATTGTCCAACAGTAGATGGATATCCTCGCCAAGATGGCCTCTTTACAGCTTCAAAACACAACTCAGGTGCTGAGGATTTCCTGTTAAATTGAGATGTGCTTCATTTTCCAAAAGCTCTATAAACACTGCATGTGATATCACTGGATTTCCTGTTAAATTGAGACGTTGTGCTTCATTTTCCAAAGGCTCTATAAACACTGCATGTGATATCACATATTTCCAGGAACTTTTAGAACAGTTAGCTAAAAGACGGGCAAACATATATTGACAATTGCCCAAATATTATTGAAGATAAATAAAAAAACTGATTTTTTGCTATGGCTAAGAACACCTAAAATTAGTCAAGGAATTAAAAAAAAAAAGGAATAGAAGTCAGAACTATGCATGTTGGGGCCCCCAAGGAGGTGATGTATAAGAACCTGACTGTGGTTGTTATAAATCCTACGGTAGGTCTTGGGTGTCAGAACTTTTGCCAAACTTCTATTCTTTACTGGCTCTGTTCCAAGGTGTTGTGCATACCCCGAATCCCCCGAACTCCCACCGTGCTGCCACTTCCTGTTACAGTGCTGTTGAGCCAGACACTTCTCACTTCCCATGTGGCTGGGGTCAACAGCACAGGGGAAACAACAGAAAAATGTGTACTCTTAAACAATTTAGTAATTTATCTCAGTCTTGGACAAACTTTTATTAAAAGTTGTGTTTTAGGAAAAAAAATTATTATAGCAAAAAAAAAAGTCTCCCACAGTTAAGTTGCTTTGCTTCTAAACTTTCTGACTATCTTCCTCATCACCACTGTCCATTTACAGCTTAATGTCCTTCTTCATCGTCATCTTCATCGCCACAATATCATCTTGAACTCAAGTTTAATTTTCCGCAATAAGAAACAATGGGCGCGGTTATCGTAAGGAGAATGGACCAATCAGAAGATGGATCAGAGCCGCACCTGAACCTCAGCCTCAGACTCAGAAATAAAAGCAGCGCAGTCTCTCTCTCCGGGTCACTCCATCAGTCACCTCCTCCTCGGACATCTCTCCTTGCCTCCTCTTCTCTCAGAGTCAGTCTCCACCACGATGACAACGGTGCAGATCAACATCCAGGACTCCTGCCTCTGCCTGTTCTTGGTGTTTCTCCTGCTCAAAGGGTGTCAGACTTTGCAAAACGACGCCACGGAGGTGATCTTTACGCACGTCGATGCGCCTCTGCGGGAACCGCACAGCAACGTGTCGATTAACCGCGCACGAATCGGTGGGAGAGGAGCGACGGAGGCGGCACTGGACAGAGACGGTGAGTGGATGGTGATGGTTGGATCGGGCTCTTCACTTTAGTGGATTTGGTGGATTTACTAATGGGATTTCAAATGATACAGGAATGACTTTGCGTCTTCTGCGCCTCTAGTATCTTTGCACCTGCTGCTCTGCTGGTTTTGCTTCTCTGTTGTCTCGGTTTCGATGGTTCTGAGTCTCCACTTAGTGCTCTGCCGAATATGCTGGTTTATATAATTTTATTTTTATTTATTTATTCTGTCTCTCCTCTGCTTTCCTTTCCTCTCCTCTCGACTCCTCTTCTTTCTTCTCCTCACCTTTACTCTCCTCTCCTTTACGCTCCCTTTCCCTCCTCTCCTTTTCTCTGCTTTCCTCTCCTTTTTTCTCCTCTCCTCTTCATCTTCTTTCCTTTCCTCTCCTCTCCTTTACTTTCCTCTCTTCTTGTGTCCTCTCCTTTCTACTCCTCTCCTTTTCTTGCCTCATCTTTCCTCTCCTCTCCTCTCTATTTCTCCTGAATATTCTCTTCTTTCCTCTCCTCTCTATTTCTCCTGAATATGCTGTATCTTCCATTTGATTATTTTGTTTTTGGTCACTCGACTTTGTTTCTCACATATCTGTGTCCTTGTGTTCTTTTTATTTATTTATTTATTTTTTTAGATCGAAGCCAGATTGGATGCCGGGAGCTGAGATCCACCAAGTACATCTCTGACGGCCACTGCACCAGCATCAACCCCATCAAAGAACTGGTTTGTGCTGGAGAGTGTCTCCCGGCTCAAATGCTTCAAAACTGGATCGGCGGCACCTACAGCAAGAAGTTCTGGGGTCGTCGCAGGAGTAGCGGCCAGGATTGGCGGTGTGTCACCGATAAGACCCGCACCCAACGTATCCAGCTGCAGTGCCAGAATGGCAGCAAAAGAACATACAAAATCACCGTGGTCACCTCGTGCAAGTGCAAGAGGTACTCGAGGCAGCACAACGATTCGGCTGGCAAATTTGAGGAAGCGCTGGCCGTGTCACCTCCACAGCTCGTACACAAACACACTTCGAAGGCCAAGAGGAGGCTGGGGAAGAACAGACTAAGTGAGAACTGGCATGGCACCGAATCCTGAGAAACATACGGAAATAGATGGACTGAATCTTCAACAACTATGACCTGAAGGAGCTACGTGATGGGTTTGTAGTTGTGGATATACATTTGAATGATTTCTGTGAAGGTGGTTTCTCAGGAGAGGATTGCAGACCTGCACTGAACTCTGGGAAATCTTCCAGTTTGTCCAGTATAGTTGATTGCTCACAGGGTGGTCCAGAAAGCTTGTTTGTGCCTTTGTTAATAGTCGTTTCTGTACTAAATCTTTTCCAGATTTATCAAAGAATGTCGGAAGTAACATCTTCCAACAGTGCTTTGAACGTTCTCCTGAGATTGGTTTGCGGCAACTACGTTATATGTCCTTTTCCTACAAGCTTCTTTCATGGTTGTCCAAAAATCTTCAGTTGCCAAAAGTTCAACGTGTCAAAACAAATGTATCCCCCGTTTTTGTCCAGAGCTTATCTGGAATAGCTTCTGTGGACATTGGTTTTACACATGAATTCTCCGGTGTGTATGTTCAGAGTTGTTCCAAACATTTACTGGAGATTTTTCAGACCGACGCCTTCAGAGATATGCTGAGATTTAATGTGCGAACCATAAGGTTTTAAGCAGTTGTTTTGGACATTCTTACATTAGAAGATACATCTAACACCAAAAGTACGATGTATGAATCTGTGAGGACAGACTTTTTTTGCACCTTTTTGCAGTCCACCAAACATTTGACATATTAAATCAGTTTGTATGATTTTAACTGGCAGTTTATGTAAATATTTCTGTACATAAACATATGTATATATACTCATCACTTGCCTTTTTTGATGTGTTGTTTTGTGTATAAAATTGTAATACATAAGATTTGGTGTAATTTATTTCCTATGCATTTAATGAGGTACAAGTTTGTATCAGTTCTGATTATATAACTTTTATTACAATAAATATCACTTTTTAATATCAGATATTGCTGTCATTTTATGGTTATTGTGAGCATTTAGGCCATAAACATGACAAAAGAACCTAGATAAATCAGCATATAATATAAATAAAAACAATTTAGAGAATTTTGGTTTATCTTTGGCTATAATCGTAGCTCTTCAATGTTTTTGGCTAATTCTTAGCTATTTTTGACAAGGGCTTAAGACACAACGATAAGGTGATAATAATAAGAAAGAATTTATTTTAACATCTTTAAATAATTTCTCATTTGAGGACAATTCACTAACAGTATATTGCAAATAATGTACAATTAAAATAATTAAATCAAATACATCTTCACTTCAAATACATCTTTAATTTGAAGGAGTTGACCGGAAGTAGCGCTATTGAGTCTTTTTGTGGAACATCATTGTCTTTTAAATCCAAGTACGTCCACGCACGAGATCCGGTTCCGACTCAGTGCCCTGAACACCGAAGTACATGTGTTCTTTCAATCGAGATGGAGGACGATAACCGTCACGATAAGGACAAGGCCGCTAATCCTGGTATTTTCCCAGCGGGGGAACCTGGGCAGAGTGACCGGCGTCTCGAAGAGCTTTCAGTAGACTTTCCGGTGTCGGTGGTTCTTCCTGCCGGGGGTACCGGAGAGAGAACGGGGCTGACCACACCGAAACAGTTTTGCTCGTTGTCGGGCAGACCGCTCATTAGCTACACCATTCAAGCCTTCGAGAGGTAGGAGGCTATTTCAAATAAAGCAGAAATACCGTTGCTCAAATAAGAATTCTCCTCTCCCTGCTCCTCCTCTCGCGGAGACCGTTTACAGAGGTGTTCGTAGGATGTTACGAAGTAAAGGAAAATGGCCCCCCTTAAACACCCAAGGGTGTACGTTATATTTAAAATACTAATTTTGTTAAATATATAGAAACTTGTATGTCTAAAAGTCTATCTTTTCCAAGTTATATCTTCAGTCGCTTTATGCAAGCTGTTATTTAAGCCAATGCACTTCATTTTGCCATCATATTACAATTTATTGTTTTTTCAATTTGTAGAGTGTCATGGATCCAGAGCGTTGTGGTTGTTGTTGCCAAAGAAAGCATGGACCTGATGGCAGATTTTATTCAGAGGTTTCAGCACAGGAAGGTTCGAGTGGTGCCGGGGGGTACCACTCGCCACAGGTCTATCTGGAATGGAATCCTAGCTTTGGGTGAGGTAGAGGGCTTCCTTCCAAACAGTGTCAGACCAAAGGTGGTCATCATCCATGATGCTGTAAGGCCTTTCGTGGAGGAGGATTTTCTCATCAAGATAGCCAGGGCTGCCAAAGAACACGGGGTAAGTGATGAAAGCTCATCATCTTGTCAGTTTCTTTGCACCTGTAAGTCATCTGTAGGCATGTTTAAAATAGAAAAGTACGGTTGTAAACTAGGGATGTCCGATATTAACTTTTTGCCGATATCCGATATGTCGATATTGTCCAAATGATTTCTGATTCCGATAAGAACTGATATCAATATAGCGGAGCAGTGGCCTGGTGGTTAAGGAAGTTAAGATGATGGGTTAAAGCAATGTTTCTCAATTATTTTGTGCCATACCCCTCTAGGGGACAGAAGTTTTTTTCACTCCCCCAAATTAAATGACCAGCATTCTGCATACAATCCTCTGATTATTCAATTAGATTAATAAAATGAGCTGCGTTGCTGCCATCTAGTGGCTTTCACTTTCACTTTTCACTTTCATTCCCCAAAACTATTTCTAACTTTTTTTTTCTTCTAACTACTATTTTCTATGCTTGCAAAATTCACCATGATCCAGTTTTCTGTTTGTGTGTGCCTGCTCTTTATTATCCTGCCAGTGGCCAGTGTCTGCACTGAGGAACAGCAGATTTATTTTGATTTTAACAGAATGTGGAATAAACAGAACACATGGTCTCCTCTTGATAACCCACCGCCGCACCCGGAGGTTGACTTCAGTCAGATGAATATTGAATACTGTGGCAGAATGTCAAAATTTCCAGGAAAAAATGGCAGAAAATAAAAAAAGCTTTTTGTTGTCCCGCTGGCAGAAGACGGATATTTAAAACAGAAACTTCTTTCAAATGCGGTTTGCTCTGGTTTGCACGCTGTATTTTGTACACAACTAATACGTATTTGTTGTGATGATCTGCAGTACGCAGCATAAATGGTAACAAAGCAAGATCTATCTATCCATCCATCCATCCATCTTGTTAAACAAATGAACATGAAAGGAGTCTTTTACTCGGGCAACCAAATGGTGCGTATTCTTATTTCTGTAATCTACTTGTTTTGTCTCAGGCGGCTGGAGCGATCAGACCTCTGGTTTCTACGGTGATTGCCACTACTTCAGAGGGATTCCTGGATCACTCTCTGGAGCGAGCCAAGTACAGAGCCAGTGAGATGCCCCAAGGCTTTACCTATGACATCATCTGTCAGGCCTACCAGAGGGTGAGTAGGTAGAGTAGTCTCGGAATATGGCTTGACAGTCAATAATAATAATAATAATAATAATTATATATATATACTATATATATAATGAATGGATGAATGAGAGGAGGAATACATTGTCAAGTGACGCTATACGCAGACGACAGCTTTGTTTACATTCGCTTGTTGTACGCCATGCATTGGATTGTGCTACATTCACTTTGTTTTGTTTGTCTATGAAAGTCAGGATCTCCTAATGTATTTTATGTCCTAGATTATGATGTTACCACTGTGTTAGCGCAGGTGAGTGACATGGGTACTTATGTACAGATCATGTAACGTCGCACATAGGAACGGAACTCTTATAAGGCTGTCCGAAGTCTCAATTTTAAATCGTAGCACACAGCAGTTATTGATTCAACCACTGTCTCCGTCACTAAGGTCAAGTACTGTTCAAATGTTACATAAGGTTAACAGGCAGCACAAGACCTCCTGCCTCTATGTTTCCTTGACCTAATATAACATTTCATTCTCTGTGGACTTTTGTGTGGCAGGGTACTCAGTTTGAGACTTGTGTGTTTTGCGTTAAGGAAAGAACCTTAAGACCATCCAAAGGAAAATCAGTCCTTGGCTTTCTCTCAGCATCAACTACCAAAGTGCAATTAGTGATTTTTGTTCACAGGGACTCGGGCGCTGCTGGCCTGTTACTGCCTCGTGTGGTCAGTTTGACTCACTGAGGCTTATTTGATTCAGCAGTTCAAACACCCAAAGCACAAATGAACTTATTTGACCTCACTGAAGGTCAGTGACAGTTAGTTAACAACTTTCTTTGTATGGACTTGGTTCAGAGTGAGAGAGTGAAGAAAAATTGAGTTTCCTTTTGGAAACAACTGTCGATTGGCGAAATAAATCGCGAAGAGAACTGAACTTACTCATAGGACCCCGTAATCTCAGGCATGAAAAGATTTATTAGCCAAGCTTTTGTTGTAATGACTAAAATCACCTTTTCCCGGAGTCATTTGACTCTCACCAATTGTAAAAACAGTGATTACAGCGGGCGTCCGTAGCCAGCCCCTCTGTGCGATTGCATTTACGTCATACCAGCTGGATGACACTAACTTTGATTTATTTTTCCCGTCCTAATTAAGATGAATCTCTTGATTATTTATTATAGCAATGAGGCTGTTGTTGTGGAGGGTCTTGTTGCTGGGAAAGCTGGGTTTGTGAGGATCACAGGGGGGACGTATGGATGGAGGCGATGAGCTCATTTTGGTTTAAAATACAGTCTGGACAACAAAGAGCAATATGTGCCACCTGAGATTATACCTGGGTAATATTTTATCGAGCTATAAAAGAGAGGGGTCTTTTCTTCCCAGGACCCTGGGACTGTGGAGAGAAATTACAGGAGAAATATGCTCAGGCTCTCAAGGTAATTTAACCTTTAGCTCACAAAAGCCTTCAGTGGGGATTGGATTAAGTGTCTCCCCCCCTTTTGTATTTTCAGCCCCAAGATTTCAGCGCTCAATGCATGTCAAACGTGCAGCCCTCACTGACTTTTTTCATGTCCTACAGTCCTAACCTGACACTTTTTCTGACCTTCTTTTTAAAGACTTGATGAGTAGAAAAACAAGACGAAGAAAAGATCTCAGTCGACCCCGTCCTCCTCCATCCTCCCCTTCAAGATCAAGATGTGCTGTGGCTCAAAAAAAAAAAAAAAAGGGAACACTGGGTTAAATACTGTTTGTTATTATCACATTTATTTTTTTATGGTTAAATAAGCTTGTGGTGGGTTAAATACTGTTTATTATTATCACATTTATTTTTTTTATGGTTAAATAAGATTGTGGCGGGCCACCACAGTGTCAGCCATTAAGGGGAAACACTGGCAGGAGTGTAGATCTAACAAGAACACTAGTTTGATTCCCTGGTGTAACTGATGGTCTGCATGTTCTTTTAGTGTGTTTGTGTTTTCTCCCACAGTTCAAAACATGCAGGCGTTGGTTTGTTGTTCTTTCTAAACTGACCTCAGGTGTAAGTGTGTGTTAGTGTGTTAGTTTCTGACACACTGGTGAACTGGTGTCCAGGCTGTACTCCACCCTTGGCCGAAGACTGCTGTGATTGGCCTCAGCCCAGCCACAACAGATAACAAAATGATGGTCGAAGATGAATGACACTCCAAGTATTTGCAAAATAAACAAGTTCACCTTCAGATTTACATCTGGTTTAACTACCATATTTTACCAAATAGAGACACGGCAACATTTTTAACACTACATCATGCAGTTTCTAAACAGTGTGGTCCATGGTAGACATAAATGATTGCTGTTGATTTGTTTAAATCTCAAAAAATCTTTAGAGAAAGTCAAAGGTTAAACACCAAAGACAACACATAGAAGCTGCTGGTCCACTGCTTCCTCCATCAGTTATTTTATATTTGATATTGTATAATATTTGGGTTTGAATTTCATTTAGATTCGCCTCAGGTGACATAAACGGACCACAACAGAGGAACAGCACCTCCTGTGTACGACCAGATAAAAACACTGATTTGTTTCTATGAAGTTTGGTGTGGGATGAGTGACAGGATTAGAAACCCATGCCTGTTTGCCTACGAAAAAAATACTTATATTTTACATTTTTAATGTTTGTTTATAAAACACCTTATGACTAGCTGAACTTTTAAACCCTAACAGGCGAAAAAAGGAATTGAGAGAGATATTTTAGGAGAAGTCCCGGTCAAAGAAAACATAATCAGCTGATAAATGTGGTGATGGCAGCTTCCTGTTAGCAGCCAATAAAACACTCTCTGATTTTGACATGGAGGTGATAACGCCACGTTTGAGAGATGTTTTCTGAACAAACAGCACATGAATCTGTTTGAGGTAGATAAGGGAACTAAAACTCGCATATTGAATTTCTCTGAAAGTGGTATTTTTCTGGCTAATCTTTACGGTTCTTGGCCAACTTTAATGACTAACCAGTTCGTTCTTGAAAAGGTTAATAAAATATCTTTATCTTTACTGCCAACTTTTGACAGTTTAAACTGTTCATTGGCTTTTTGGCCAACCTTAAGCTATCTTAGCGTGCTAATATAATGTGTGTGTGTATCTGTCTAAGTCTGGGTACGTCAGTAACAGCTTGTGTGTTTGTGTTCTCTCCGCAGTCCTCCGAGTACGACTTTGACTTTGGGACAGAGTGTCTCCATCTGGCTCTGCAATACTGTGGCACCAGTGCTAAACTGATAGAAGGGCCTCCTTCACTGTGGAAGGTGATGTGATCTGACACTTTTTTAAATATTTGGATAAAATGTAAGGATGTCTGATATTAACTTCATTGACTTAATTTCCGATATCAACCGATACCGATATATGCAGCCGTTTGCCCCTAAAGCTGAGGTAAACGTCTCAGAACCGCACAAACAATGCCAGCACATTTGACGAAATCCAGGCGTTGCGTTTTCGGGTTTCTCATTATCAATGATTCTTGCAGATATTACACAAGAATGCTAGTATCGGCAAACCTATAATATCGGTCGGCCGATACTATCGGACATCTCTAATAAGATGGTAATAAGTCCAGTAAGCTTAGGTGTTTAAAGGTTGTTCCTTAGTCATGACTTACCGTCATTTCCGGACTATAAGCCGCTACACTTTGAACCCTGCGGCTTAATCAATGATGTGGCTAATTTATGCTAATGTTAGCTTCAGAAAACATTAAAAAAACATTTATTTAATTAAAAGTAACTGAATATTCCAACTACGGTTGTTGCGTTGAAGCAGGAAATAGCTAACATGTAACCAGCCGTGTTACAGGCACTGTTCGGAAAAAAGGCATTTATTTAATTAAAAGTGAAAAAAAAATCTTTCTGTGTAAATGTCCCATGTTACAACGTGGACAGCTGCGGCTTATAGAGAAGTGCGGCCTATATACGGACATTTTTTTTTGTATTTAGTGCGGCTTACATACAGGTGCACCGGAAATTACGGTTATTCGTTTAAAACCAACCCCACTCTACTTTTGTCCTGCAGGTGACCTACAAACGGGATTTAGCCGCAGCGGAATCAATTGTAAAAGGTGAGGCAAGTTTCTACAGAAGCCAGTTTTTTTTTCTTTTTTGTTTATTAGTTAAAAGAATGAGTGAACGACTGATTAAAAGTCTGAACTATGAGACTGAACTATAGTGTGTGTGATTTTCTTGTTTAGAACTTTGGAGAGTCCTAAGATCTTAATCAGGTTAAATACATTGTCAAATGTTGTGACCCTGTGTTTTATTTTTCTATGCATCTGTGTGTGTGTATGTCTCTGTTGGTCATGGCATTATTTTTTTATAGGACAGAGATATTTTAGTAACATTTTTGATACATATTTCTATTTTGTTTTTAACATGGATTTTTTTAAACTTAACTTTGGGTTTACGTAGACATCTTTTGAACATCGAAACGTTGGCACCATTTGTTTTTTTTTAACTCTTTTTATACTTAAATTATTTATAAAAATAAAACAAACTATACTTACTACAATTCTAAAATGCTCTTTTGCCATAGGTTTATTTGTTACACCTTTCTTTGGAAAATTTTGAACTATGTTTTAGTTAAATTAAAATCTTTTTTTGGAGGAAAGGTTTGCTAAATCGTAGCTGTTGTTGTTATTTTCCAGCTTGTTTTGCTATATTTGTTGTCAAGTTTTTAGTTACATTTTAGCAGTAATTGTTCTAATCTACAATTCTACAACATTTTTGAGATAACAGAGTCTAACGTTGCATAGTAAGATACGAAGTAGTTGTTTGTGGTACGAAAGCCCAGCTGGACATTTTAAATCGAAGCTCTTCAACATTCTGACTATTATACAGGAGCATAAAGGAATGACATGAGAAAAACAGAATCAGATAATATTTGGTTGATACGATAACGTCATCCTGGCTTAATCCCTTCCTTTGCCTCTTGCAGACGCTCTGTCAAAGTCAACGTGTGTCGTCACAGGTGGGTCGGCGGCGGCTGAGTCGTTTGCTGGAGACCTTCAGAAGACAACAGAACTGAACATGGTAGGGAAAAGATTTGAACCTTTTCATGTTTGTTTCCATCGGCCCTTCTGTCTTCTGTGGTCTGGGTGAGCTCCGCCTGGGTGGCCTCCGTCTGAGGTCCGAGCCCTGGTTTCTGAAATCAGACCTGTGTAACTGAACCTTTCTGGGACACCCACTGGGCCACTCTTCCTCCTGCTCCTCCTCATGGTTTTCATCTTCAGCCTCTTCCGCCTCTCACTCCCGTTTCCAAAAGTGCAGATGGCACTCGACTTACTTCCTACTCCTCCTCCTCCTCCTCCTCCTGTTTTATTTATCGTCCTTAAATGCCACACTCCCAGTTTTTTCCTCAATTCAGATTTTAGTTCATTGGAGCATAGGCACTACTGCTGCCTCTTGTGGCCACTCTGTGTCAGCGAGGTAAATATCAGTGCGAGATGAAAGCTACATTTACTACAAAAAGACATTTAAACTTGTAAACTCTCATAAATATTTCTTTAGTGACTTTTGTATTGGTTAGTAAGTGGTGAAGAACTCTCTTTTAACAGCAGAAATGGATCTAGATCAAACTCAGGCCCGGGGGCCAGATCTGGCCCGCAGTGTAATAATATTAGTCCCGCGAGATTATATCAGATGTGTAGTAGAGTTGGCCCGCCAGTATTTAGCCTATATGCTAGCAGGATTTGTAGCATTAGCGGTGCATCTGCTATATTTCGGTGCATACATTTTTAGTTGTTTCGGTGTTGACCTGTGAAAAAAAGATTTACATTTAAAAGGAACTCAAAAGACTACAGATAGAGAAAGACATAATGAGAAACTGATGCCCCTGATGTGTTGTATTTCAGATTTAATTCCTCATTTGGTTATAATATTGAGCTTTAGTTGTTTCAGGTTGTGTTTACGCAAAACTAAAATTTGTTTTTATGTTGAAAAATTCTACATTCTGTATCTGGAGAGAAGGGAAACCGTGCACAATTGCTGTCAATTTTTCTTTAAATATTCAGTTTGGCCCACGACTTTGTCCCAATTTTTAAATTTTGGCCAAGTTTGACACCGCTGATCTAGATAAGTACAATCATCCACACACAGGTATGTTCTCTGTTCCTCCCAAAACAGATGTTAATAGACCTTTTCTTAATATATTCATGTTGGATGTGAAGTCTATAACTAATAGCTTTTATGCTAGATTTTTTTTTTCTTTTTTTTTCCCGGCTCTGAGAATACCTTAGTCACAGTCTAAATCCAGAAGTCTTCTTCCCCTACGTCCATATCCTCCACCTGCGCTCACACACATGCAGCTCTGAGACTGCCTTATCACTGTTACATGCTCATTAATGGCACCAGGACAAACCTAATTCTTCACCTCCCTCTTCTTGCGCTCGTCTTTCATCTCTGTCTCCCGTCTTAACTTAATACGCCCATCTTTTCTCCTCCCACACTCCCTAACTAAAGAATGTATCTCCGTCCAAACACACGCAACCAGAAAAACACCATCACCAGTCATTCATGAGCAGCAGGCAGGACTGGAGCCATCCCAAAGGGTCTGACACCGACCCCCAAATCTGTCAGCGGGGCCCGGGCCAGCCCGAGTGAAGGGAGTTCCGCCCTGATGGAGGACTTGGAGCGAGTTTAAAGCATGATGGCCTGTTTGGATCACGGCGGAACAAAAGAAAACATGCTCTCTTGCTGTCAACAGCATCGCCAAACTGGTGTGTGCGCACAGAATACTCGCGTCAGGAAGATCCAGGCAACACAGTTCAGTACGCGGAACCATGTGTGGGTCCTTTTCTCATCTGGGTGATGAACAACAGGTGATGGCAGTGAAACACAAGCGCCCAAAGCCATATACGTTTTCATCTATCGACTCACGAGTGTCACGAAAAGCTATGGGATCTGAGTGCCAAGACACGGACACAGCCTTTGAGCAACGAGAGCAGGGACAAGAGAAAAATGGATTTCAGCCATTAACATAAAACGAACAGCATAAAATATGTGAGACAACCTGAATCCCCCCTCCACCGAATTCCATAGAAATGTGTTGATTTTACTCCAGGGCACAGAGATCCATCATTGTCTTTATGGCAGTGTTTAAAAATTTTTTTTTTATTTCAATTTTCAGGAATATGTTGAGGCATTTGCCTCAGTCACACAGACCTGTGTACCCTTGAACAGATAATTAATCAGGAATATGTTTAGGCATTTACCTCAGTCACACAGTCCTGTGTACCCTTGAACAGATAATTAATTTATTCACCATAAATAATGCATACAATTTAAGACCTAAACTGGGTAGGTCCAAACTCTGGCCCGGGGGCCAGTTATGGCCCAAGGTTGAATTTTATATGGCCCATACACAAGATACATGTGAATTTCATCTCCTTAGTTATAAAAAAACAAACAAAAACGATTTAACTTTAAACTCAATGGTCTTCCCAAATGAAAGGCAGAGTGATTTTGGTAAGACCTGTGTAGATTTGTCATCCATGTGATGTTCACTTAATATAATCTGTCCCTCTTTGAAGAAAGTCTGGGCACCCTTGACCCAGACAGATATGAATTTTGATAAGTTAAACATAAGAAGATTAATGAAAAAAAAAAAAAAAAGTCCTTTGAAAGAGTTGAATCACAGGCATGGCTCTGATGCTCTGAAACGCACTTAAAATTCAGAACTTGCTTCAGACCCCTGACAACAGCGTGAAACAAATGTTTTATTTATCCGAACAAAAATAAATGGAACGCAATATTTCATTGAAGTCAAAGAGACTCGCTCCTCTGCGTGTTTTATCTCTGCTCTGTTTCCCTTTCATCACATTTTGTCTGTGCTTTCACATTATCTCAACACATTCCTCAGGCTCGTTCATCAGACTTCAAACAGACAAAAGTAATAAACTATGACTATTTCTGCAGTTTACAAATGTTCAGACATGATTTACCCATCTGTGTCCACGATTCAGTACAACTGCAGTGAATGAGGGAACGGTTTAGGTCAAATGTTTGGATTATGTAGGGAATTTTTTGGGGTTTTTTTTTGTGGGTGACCTTTAGCTCCATCTGTGGCTGCCATAGTGGATGTGGAGCTGTTTAGAAAAACTATCTGTCTATCCATCATCCATCCATCTATTCATCCATCCATCCATCCATCCATCCACCCATCCATCCATCCATCCATCTATCCATCCATCCATGCATCCATGCATCTATCCATCATCCATCCATCTATCCATCCATCATCCATCCATCCTACTGTAAATTACAGGGCTGATTCTTTAAGTCTGCTCCTTGTGTCACATCAATCTGCAGTGATTGTGTCAGGCAGCATCAATTCCAAAACCAAACTGTCTTTAAGGTGAAACGTAGAGCAGCATTAGAGTTCTGAAAAGGACAAGGGTTGATAGCAAGTTCAATTTTAAAATCCCAGCTGATGTCAGAGAGACTGAATCCCCCTGTCAAAAATACGCAGCTTTTTTGCTCATCAGTTTAAATTTGAATAAACATTCCTTCCTTCAAATTCATGGCTGGTTTACATCACATTAAATTGAAATGTAGGCCAAAATGCCTTTCCTTCTAAAACCACACTTCATTTATTTTTTTCTTAACACAGTTAACGAACATGTGTTTTCTATAACTATTCTGCTATTTTTAATTAGCTGCTGTTGATGTAAAGGTCAGGTTCGGTGTATCCTCAGGCCAAACGGTGACGCTGTCAGGTTATTCCTGTGTTTTCTTTCTGTGAGAGTGAAATCATACAATTAGGACACAAATCCATCCTCAGCAAAAAGGGGTCAAAGTGTTCCGGGTTTGAAACTGAAAGGAATGATGATTGGGATAACTGAATTAGCAGAGTAATTACATTTAGTTTGCTTTGCTTTAGTGTGATTTCTGTTTGCTGTTTTTGTGTTCGGCAGAGATATTTCCTGGAAGCTCTAAGTGGTGAAAAAGCTCAGAGCATTGTTTTCTTTTACCCTGTCATTCCTTATCGACCTACCATTTTCTACTTTACATTATTGTTTCCCAAACCCCGGGTCACGACCCTCAGGTGGGTCGCAAGAGATTTTTTTTTTGGGTCGTCTCGCATCATGTTTCCCAGGAGTTTACGAATAATGTCTATTGACTTGGGTCACGAAGGTTTGTGACTTTTAAAATATGGGTCCCCAGAAAAAAAACTACCGTCCTACCTACATGCTAACTACAGTTGACGCTAAGTGGACTCTGTCTCTGCACTGCAGGAGGTTCACGTGGTCCCAGATCTTAACAGAGACAACAGCAGCAAAGTGCTGAAGGAATTCAACTTCATCCTGGTTTCTGTAAGTTCTTCATTTCTTAAAAATAAATATGCGATCTACTTTACATTAATTAATCCAGATATATTTAGAGTCTTTCATAATATCATTGCTTAATCTGTGTATTGGTTTTGATATCCAGGTGAACTCTTTTGACCTGTCTGCGCTCAAGTCCACACTGAAAGATCTGGAAGCCTCAAACCAAGCTGTTCTTCACCCTCTGGTCGTTATTTGGGTGAGTGTACATCTGCCAATTGGTAAATGGCTATCACTGCAAACCCTCAAATGTGATTTTACAATATCCTAAAAATATATTCTTCACTTTATAGCATCGTAAGAATAGCTTTGAACAGGAAATTACATGATTTTACAATATCCTTGTTAGCTTTATGGCAACGTAAGAATAGCTTTGAACAGGAAATTAAAGTTAGCCTTACATAGTAAATGGACATTGCTGCATCCATGTCCATGTACAAAAAAAGTGATCAGACATTCCCAGCACTGTGAAATTGTTTGTTGTTTCACTTCTCTGGTCAAATCTTTCCACGCAGCAACAGGAAACCAGCAGCATCTGGCTGCCTGTTAGCGTTTGGTTTTGTTCTTCTCACACTGCAAAAAGTGCAAATTTTTCCAAAAAAACTGCTTACTTTTTCTACACTCGTGTGAACAAGTGAACTCCGAAAAGTCATCGGTTGTCATTCATTGCGTGACATCGGTGCGCTGCTGCCTCCTGTGGTCAGTTTTAGTCACTCAAAGTAGTGATCACGATCAAAAACCAAAGTCTCTAAAGCAAACATACTTGGATTTAAGAATAGACACTGTGGTGAATTTCTCGACAGACTTTGGTGTGGCGAGTTACCTTCCCAAACCATTGTCTAACATTAAGATAAAGAAGCAAATATTTGAGTTTTTTCTAAGCCTAAACGCATTAGTGGTCATTTTGACGACATGCAGTTTTCATTTATTCCCTCAAATCCTTTCGCTCAAAGCCACAACACCTATGGTTCACAGACAGGTTTGAAACTCTGACCTCAGGTCGGTCTGTCTGCATCTCTGCCCTCCAGGCTGCCACCTACACTTCAAACCCATCAGCTCAATTTGACCAAACCTGCTTCACATAATCAGATACGTGTGCAGTCTGCTAGTAGAAGAACGAACATGCACCCAAGGAAAAGCCTTTAGTTCTGCCCCTCCACAACCGTGAAACTCAGAAGCAGCTTCACGTTTCTAACAATCGCTACTTCCCAGACCGGGCTTGTGCACTTTCAGATGTTAGCGTGAAATTGTGTTAAAGGGGAAAAAGTCACACTGAGTGTGATGGTTTCATCCTGACATCTGGCCTCTTCTTTTTCCAAAGCAAAGACTTTGCTGACAATTTTTTCTTCTTCTGCATATCATTTGATTTTCTTTTGCTTCATCTGAAGCCATTTTTTTTTTTTTGCTAAACTTCTAGCTACTTCCCCCCTTCCTATGATTGTCTTACATTTAACCGATAAACCCTAAAATAAAATGCCCTACTAAAAGGAAATGTTGGAATGTTTCGTCCTAACTGGAGGTTTTACATATAATCCACAAAATATGTATGTATTTGGCTGGAGACTATGAAACATATTTCAAGGTCGAATTGAAAAATTTCAATGCTCTTGAACCATGGCTAAATTCATATCCTGGTATGGATTTTGCTGGTCTAAGTGGAAAATAATACCTAATGCCACAAAACTATGTGCCCATTTTTGCTGCCCATTTAAACCACAGCTCTAACTTTATGTTGCCATTTTCATACACTCGATACGGCACTCGCTCCTAATACACATTACTAACTTCTGTTAGTATCAGAGTCTGTGGTTTTGAAACATTGTCAGATTATCTTTGACTAATGAACCTTAAGTTGGGGGTCAGTGAAAACAAAAGTGTATTCTTTGCGCTTAAAGCAGAACGGAATTCATGTTTCAGTGTAAAAAGTGAGATTAGTGGTTAAAAAAATAATTGACATTGCGCGTTACGCACCATCGTTGAAGGATCATCACATTTTCAAAATCAAACCTCTTTCAGACTTTGGACTGTTTCTGATCCCCAGACCAGGGGTTGTGAAACCCTGTTGTAGATGGATCCCAAGTACTACCAATGGTACTCCATACCATAGTTTTGAAGTACTTTTTTTGTACTGTGTCTCACTGCGGCCCAGTACCAAGTGACATACCAATTGTGAACCCCTGCTGTAGAGGGTTCCCAAGTACTACCAATGGTACTCCATACCATAATTTAACAACCACAGTATTAAAATTGAAGTGGAACCACTAGAGGTTCTTGGGCTCCCTCTTATGGTACGAAGGGGCACAACAATACTGGAGTTGCTGGTCCAAACAGAGACTATAAAAACAGAGTAAGTGAAATAAGGCAGAATGAATGATGTGTACCATGTCGGGTCAAACAGTGTAGACCTGGGCAGCTGTATTTGATGTTGGTCATACTCATGGTACTTGGAGAGCCCAGTACTTTTGAAGGTGCTACGATGATGTAAAGATACTGTTGGTGATATTATCATGTGGAGTCTGACAGGTTCTTGTCGTTCTGCAGGTGTATTTGACCACTTCAGATGAGCCATCATGCATCAGTAGAACCACAGCTGAGGTCAAGGCGTTTACAGATGTGGCTTCAGAAGCTAAACTAAGAAATACTCTCATCTACGGTCTTCAGCTTCCTCGGACTCAGGTAAGAATCTCTCCGGGGTAAATGCGTCTACTTAGTTCTTGGTACATGCTCCTGTGGTAGAATTCCACAGTTGGAAAACTTTTATATTTGCATGCAAAATATTACCAATCATTTAGCTGAGTCTGGTTCATTTTGTTTATCTTTAAATACTGAATTTCAAGGACTTTTGGTGGTTATAAGAACGTGCCGGGGCCATTCTCATTGTCCCTGAAATCTGTTGACCTCAGGCCAGGGTCCAACTCCGCTGGTGTCACAGCAGGATATTCAGTGGCTGGTGTATTGTTTCACCTGTCTGCCTTCAGACCTGGATCTGAAAAGGGCCCAGGAGAATCTAAACCTTGAGAGAGCGGATCCTTTTCTTCCTTCTTTTTCTCTTTTCCATCTCTTTTCTTCTTGCCACCGCTAATCTCCTATAAGGTTTAGGATTCCCAGTCACGGTTCTTTGAGAGGGGGAGCAGGAGGAGGAAACACGGGGTTGGGTAAACATCAGGGCTCTCCATGGAGGGATTACAACAGCCATACATCACCGTGACAAGTCTCTTTTCAGCAGATGACAAGTAGCCAGGACCGGGGTGAAGCAGGGCTCCGATGACACTTCCTATCTCCGCCGTAGACACTAAGAACGTCACAGTTTTTTTTTTTTTCATAACGTCTCCCACGTTCCCCTGGATCGGATGTCAGTCAACATCTCAGAATTTTAGGTGTTCACACACCGTCGCACCTGAGGGCACGGTTGCCACAGCACAAGCGGAAGTCTGAAGAAGAGCTTTGATCCCTCGCTGAGTCCATTGCACTTTCTCCTCTCCACGTAGCCAGACAGCTCCTGCAGCCTGGAGGTCCAGCTCTGAGTCTGGATGAGGTAAAACTGCAGTCAGGCCTCATTTGACTTAATCCACACTTTATCCAAGAAGACATAAGCCAAGGTCACTTAGTGGAGGTGGATTCATTTTCCCAATCTCTCTGGGATAATTCCCATTTCCATGTGCTCATGCATTTTCGCTTAAAATTCAATTAAACAAATGGCAGTTCCATTCCAAAGCAGGAGGAACGCGCAACGGATCCCGCAGCGGGATGCGTCATAGGAGGTGATTAAAAGTCTCTGCAGTCGTTCACTTCAGGATGAAATCATTCAGAGATGAACGGTGAACCACATTTGTTTCTAGTCACGTTTCAATCCAATAATTGTGTTGTAAACGAGTCGAGAAACAGCTAGGAATTTATTTAGGAATATCAACTCGCTTTGAAAACATTTAGTTCTTAGACTTTTCAGTGATTCTACACACTAGAGTAGGGAGTCATTTGTGGGTTTTTTTTTAAAATAATTTCAAGCAAGTTATCATTATTAAGGTGGCCATCATTCTGACTGCAGTGAAGGAGTTCTCCGTCCTGCTCCTGGTAGTTATGAAGTGCTAAAAATAATTTCAAGCAAGTTCATTATTAGGGTGGCCATCATTCTGACTGCGGTGAAGCAGTTCTCTGTCCTGCTCCTGGTAGTTATGAAGTGCTGGGTAATGGTTTCTCTTCAGCCCTTTTGTCTCGCTGTCCGCTGCAGTCCAGGTCTCAGGAGACAAAGAGAGCAGAAGCAGACTCACCTGAAGCGGCTGCTGTGACACCAGTGTGTGAAAAAGCTGACAGGGTTTCAGGAGGATCATCTGTCTGTGCAGCTTCAGCACACTCCACATCTTTCACCTCACTAATCCTTGACTTGTTCTCAAACAAGACACCACTGGTCCTTGTTGGCATTTTAGGCTTTTTGTTTCTGGTTTTAGATCAAATATCATTTTTTTTTCTCTTCTAACATTTATTTATTTCTTAGCAGACTTTGCTTCTGTATTCCCCAACCTTTTTAATGTTTTTTATTTATTCTGTAATGCATTTTAGCTTGCCTTTATGTTGCTATCAGCTAACCTTTAGCTTAGAGTCTGCTAGTTTATTTGTAGTTTCCTTTTCTACACATTTTGAATTTGGCTAATGCCTGATTAGATGTCAGTTGTCCCAGACCAGTACAATCATAACATAATTTACTGTAAATAACAATAGGTCCATGTTTATTCCCTTTGTTTTCATGCAAGCAAGTATAAGTATATTAGAAAATATTCATATTTAATGAAATAAGATTCGACAAAACAGCACAGACATGAAGAGTTTGTGCATTTTTTCACTTTCAAAATGTATCAAACGGGCTGGATTGAACCTCGTAGTGGGACGGTTTTGGTCCCCGAGCTGTATGTTTGACACCCCCTTTTAAATTGAGCTTTCAGTACAAAATCTATCAGTTGTGCAATATACCCTCTCCTACAAAAGCTGAATTTAAAAAAAAAGGTTCTACCTCTGGAGCAACCTGGGCGTATTTGAATTTTTATGTGAACTCTGTCAGTCGTACAGAACAGAAGTCCAACGTCAACAGAGATGGTGTAATTTTTATTGTTTTGTTAAAACCTGCTGTCCTCCAGGACATTTGTCTTTGTTCTAGAATCTTTTCACATGTTATTGGAAATCCTGTCTCCGGGGTCTCAGAGCAGTGAGCTGCCTGTGTGAAGTCCTGACATTTTCATCTTCACTTCATGGTCCTCCTGCTTCACTGTTACACCAGTGGAGTGTGAAGGTCAGAACCTCACAGTCACTCCAACATGTGCAGTAGATCAGAGCCGATCCTTCACGCTGATCCCGATCCAGATGTGCGGAACCTGACCACCAGGGTTCAGATGCGGCGCAGCAGAGTTTACTCAGCTTTTAATACTCAGCTCTTAAGAGCGGACTCAGATGGCTGGACTCTTGTGCATGGTTCTGGTTCCGACTTTGGTTCTGGTTCTGTCTCTTGTTGTGGGAGATGAGTGGAAAATATTGTTTCCTGCCAGAATTACTGTGTGGTCTTTTAAAGGACTAATATAAACCTGATTAATGTTTGTAAACATGAATGTTTTGGTTTTCTGACCACCCAAATATTCTTCTGCTTTGCGTTTTTTCTCCGAATGAAGCAGACCCTTTTTTTCCCTCCATTTTTGAATACTAAGAAAGCTAACTTTTTGCCTTCTTCTAACTTGACTCTCAACTTAGCTCATCTTTTAGCAATGTTGGTATAGTTGTGTTTTTGCACAGTTGATGTTTTGTTTGGTTTTATTGGTATATTGTCTTTTGCTACATATTAGCATTTCTTTTAGCCTAATCAATTTCTTTGGCTAGTCATCCTACCCCTGACTTAATCTAATAATTCTCTTAAAAGGGAATTATACTACAAAATATATCAACTTATTTCAAAGCTAGCTTAATAGCTTAGCATAATAGTTTAGCTTAATTTGCTTTTGTTCAATTGACTTGATTGTTTTTAGCTCTTCATATAATTGTTCTGTTTTGGAGAATTATCCTATGTTAAAAGATGATAATTATCTCCTATTTTTTGGATAACAACAGACAATCTTAGCCAATGGGCTAATTCTCTTATCCCCTATTTTTTGGATAACAACAGACAATCAAAAAGTTTAAATTGTTGACTACTATTTAGCTTGTTTAAGCCCAATTCTAACTGTTTTGCTACACATTAGCTTGTGTAGTCCTCTGTAGAAAGTAGTGCTCGTTGTTTGTGTGATTTTTTTTGTCTCCTTCTGCTCGATGAAAACCACCCAGACCTTCATACCTCCATTGTCCCGCCGCAGTGTTTTGAAGGTTCTGTCTTTCAGTGAGTTGAATTCGACCAAATTGTCTCTCAGTGAAGCTTGACTGCAGAAAGAATTCTCCTCAGGAAGTACAGTCGTCTCCTCCTTTTCACAGTTTGCCTCCTCTGAAGTGGGTGAACAGAAAAGAAAAAAGAAGCCGTAGATCAGAAATGACTAAAATGGATGTGTTGGTCTGATGTTGGCCCCCAGACAGGATACGATGGAATGTTGTTATTTAAAGGTCTTCACCAGTGCAGTGTAAAGAAACAGTGAAAAACTGCCGTCAGAACAAAAGGCAGTCTGACAGAAGTGAGAGTCATGTACAAACAGAGTAGAGCAGGAAGGATAATAATTTTGGTTTTTCCAAAGGCTTTTGTCACCAACACTGGATCATTTGTAAAACAAAAACAACCAAAGATGACTTTATGTAGCAGTTTATACTAAGATACAATATATTTCTTCTAGCTTGATGTTTATTTGGGCTTTCTTGTTGTCTTATATTTTCACAAAGTTATAATATATTCAGATGTCAACATGTCAGACTGAGGTGTTTTGGACTTAATCTTAGTAAAATGTAGCAAGTTTTGCTATATTGTTATGTGTTTTTATGGCTAAATCCCTCTTTATTATATTGTGGTCTAATTTCCAGTCATCTTTTAGTTCAGTGGTTTTCAAATTGGGGACCACCAGGGGGCACTAGGTGGGGCTCTGAAAAAAATGTGAAAAAAATAGAATCTAATTATTATTCTTATTTATTTATTTTAATATAACCATTTGTCCTAAACTGTATAAAACCTGCCGTTAACTGCCGTTATTGTCAGATTCTCAAGTTTCCGATGGTACCTGAATGCACCTCGTGTGATAGCTGTGACTTCATGGCGATATCATTATCTGTGTAGACCTGGCGGTCTGTTTATTTTGATTTTTACCTTCAGCTACCAGCATTTTAGTTTGAATTTGAGGGTATTTCTTGGTTAGCGCCTAGTTAGCATCTGTTGGCTAATGTTTTACAGGTCCAGCTGCTGTCATTTAAATGTTACACTCACATTTTGAGAAGTCACTTTCGATTTTAAAGGAGCATTTAGTTCAATTTCAAGGCCACTTCCAGTTGTTTTCGAGTCATTTTTGCCCAGAACCTCTTTGAATTTTACCAGATGAACAAAGAAAAAAAAAAGTTTTCCAGCCCTTTAAACCAGGAGCTGGATGTGGAAATGGGGACCAGTTAAAGTCCAAGGGCAGATGAGGCATCAGTGGATCGAGTTGAGATGAAATAAATCAAATAAATCACTTCTCTCAGGAGAAACTTTACACACACTGAGGTCCAGCCAGGTTCAATATTTACTGCTG